GGGGGTGGGGGAGAGGCATGGCTTGAGGTATCAACGGGTTTGCTCCAGCTGCTGAGGGGATGGTAGGCTGGGTGCAACCTAGACCATGGAACAAGAGGGAGCATGGCAGTGTCTGTACATCAGTGAGGGAGCAGGGAGGCATGCTGCCACAGAGGAAAGACCGGGGCTTAGGGATGATTAGAAAAGCCTGAGAATGGCTGATGTGTTACAGCAACCCCACTCCTTTCTTAAAACAAGCTTCATTGCTCCTGCCTGTTTACTTCTCACTGCCCTTCCGCTGGTTCTTTGTCACCAACCCCACCCCTTGTCCTCTGGGTCTCCAGAGCTACTTGCTCCTCTAGAGCTGGTTCTTCAACCCTCCCCAGTCCCGTGGCACTGTCGCTTTGCTTGCTTTTGGCAGTCAGCTCTCACCCTGGGCCCAAGCAAATAAATGCTGCTTATTACAAGGTACTCTGCACCCCATATTTCACACTGGCATGTCTTGAATGTTGGGAGCCAAGGATGGGGAGGGCTATGGCCCAGGGTCTCCTCAGGTGTCAGTGTGTTTCTGTGAATAGTGAGCTTGCTTCTTAAGTTTTTTGGGGAATGGGCACTAAACTGGCTTAATTAATTTGCTTATATTCAAGGTTGGTATTGCAATTTTAATTTCTAAACTGCATTTAATAAGATGGTCATATAAAAGCTCTCCAAGTTTCAGGGAAGCATACTTACTAGAAGTGGTTTTGTAATTCTCTTGCAGTGTGTGGTCTTTGGCTTTTCTGAACGTTTGCTGTGTTACATTCAAGTATAGTTTAGTGTCGTTAGAAAGAAAGATGGGAAAGAGAAAAGCTGATAGGGAGCAGATCAGATTGGGATGGAGATGGAGCCACTTTATGTTTCTTTTTTTTGCCACAGATGAAGTCAGTATTCCCCACCTGCTCAAGGAGTGCCCACAGCAGCCTGAATCACCAACACACCTTGTTCTGAAATAAATCACAACAGCAAAAGGATGTTGTTTGTGGCAGTTGAGAAAGTGCTTATTAAATGGCGAGCTTTGCTTTGCATGCTTATGGTCACAACTTCTTTCTTTTCCGAAAAAACCTACGTTTGTTGTGGTAATTAAGGGAAGGTCCCTGCAGCATGCTGAGACCAGTCTGCTTCCTCGTTCTTTGCACTTGCATCGTTGGGCAACTTTCCTCTATGTGAAGTGAAAACTTCCTCATCCAGTCCAGTAACACTGGACTCACCCTGAACAAAACAAGGTCTCCTCCCCACATAACGCAGGTTAGGCAGTATTACTCAACCCCATCTCTTACAGGAATACTCAACGGTGTGCTTTACCACGGGGCTTTGTCGTTTGCAGACACCTCCTGAAGTGCAACATGTGTGTATTTTTATGGCCACTTTGGATAAAGTTACAACTGCAGCTGGTAACTGCAACTTCAAGATAAAACTCCCTACGTGACAACCTGAGAAATGGCAAACTAAAGAGCAAGGAATTGTTCATTTTCAGACTCCAGCATGGCTATATATACTGACGCTTTGTTGCGCAAACACAGAGTAACAGCTTTACCTTGAACAGTTTCTCTTAGCCCTTGCAATATTACCTGTAACTGTTTCTGCAAGAGCTTGCAGGCCCTATCATTAATATGCAACTCCCTGGGTGTGCTTTTGAATCAGACTGATAAAGGAAACAGTATTTTTCATGAGAAAGCTTCTTGGTATGTATTATTTCCAGAAACCCTGAAACCACCGTTTGTTACCTCACTCGTGGTTTTTACCCCTGTTAAGCACAACATCAGCTTTTTAGAGGACTGATGTGTCTGTGGCCACATGCTGAGCTGCTGAAATACCGGGATGTGTTGGAAAACAAGAGTACCGAAACACCCACGAACAACATCCTGCAGGCCAGAACCGCATGCACTTTCTAAATAGGTCAGGCTTTGCTCTCAGAACCTGGTATTTCTTGAAGACGTCCTTTGTATTTCCTATATTTCTCCATTTCATTCTCCATTCAGTCACATAGCCTGTGTGCTGGATTTATTTGTTTTACATTTCTGTCCAATTTGCTGCCAAATCATCATCTCGTGTTGCTGTGTTATATAAATGTTAACATTAGCTGGCTTCACAATAACAGCCTGGAAAGGAAACATTTACTTCTGAGCTTCCCCCTGCCAAACAAATGTACAGTGTATGGTTTTTTGTGGCTACTGGTAGTTAAGGACATGGGATATAAAATACTAATGCTGTATGCATGGTTAGTCTATTACAGTTACAGTCACTGTAACATGTACTTCAACATATTTATTGTTTCACTTTTAAATTGGTACATTCAGTGCATAGGACACAACTGCTCATTCTAACATAATCTCCATAGGTCCTTAAGACTCTGCCTGCCAGCAGGAAAACCCCCTCAATTTTAAAGTTTTTTGTCCTTGATGACATACCACGAATGCATCAGTGTTACTTTTGTGTCCTTAAAGAAGGGGTGATGGTATGGAATGGACAGCGATGCAAACACGGGCAGAGAGCTTGACAAGAAATATACCGATTTCAAACCCCAGTTCAACAGCACGAAAACACTGGTCTGCCTAGACTTCATAAAATCAGATGTGCTTTGGCCCTGAGGTCCCTCCATGGCAAAGTGCCACTGCATGTCCACTGTGGTATTCCAGGTATGGAACTGAGTTTGTGCACTGGTAAATTGGGAATAACGTTCTTCAAAACACGTGGTAAACAAGTGCTATTCCATCGACTTTCTGTGACCCTTGGCTGGGTCTTCAGCTGCTTGCACTGAATCCACGTGGTAAGAATTAAGTTAAAACCCCAGGAGAAGCCTCCCTGAGCAGGCCTGCGCGGGCCCCAAGGTCAGAAGGCTGCAGGACCCGGCGGCTCCCGCCACGCTCAGGACGGAGCTGGCAGCCCAGGCCCGGGGGGAGGAGGCGGCAGCACCGGCGCTCCACGACACCTGCTCCGGCCAAGCTCTGCCGGCTCCTCAGCGGAGCCGGCCGCGGAGGGGTCTGTGCCCGACGCCAGAGCTGCCCTCCC